CCTCGATAGGGTATTAAGCCTAGGTGAGCAGATCGAGAGGAAACATGAGATTGTTTACCTAGGTTCAGGCCCTCATGGTGGAGGTAAAGCCATACTTCCTGCTCGTGTTGTATAGCTTGAGTATAGGGGTGTAGAATCAAAAGTATTTTTCTTAGCTCGAGCTCAAATGTTCCTGGTACAAATAGTAAATTCCAAAATAAATTCAAAAAATCTGATTATTTTGGACGGCAAAACATTAAGTAATTTTTGGAGTGCTTGCAAAGTTTCATCATGGAATCACATTCGTGGCAAAAAAAATAAAGCCTAAAAATGCGTTCGAAAGTACCATTTTCTGAGCATCAATTTTTTGAACCATGACTTTCACGAATATGATTTTATGATGAAACTTTCCAAGAACCCGAAACATTCCTTAATGTTTTTTTTAATTGGCATTTTCGAATTTTATTGTCATTGTTTCCGATTTTACTGTTCATCAAGGAGCATATGAGCTCACGAGCAGATAATCTGCATCCGTGTACAATGACAATCGGGGGATTGAGAATAATCTCTATGGTTCTCTCTGTCGACTAGCCTAGCTCTGACTTATATGGGTACTTGCGCCTAGGTTAAAAGATCCTAGTTGGTAAGGATTACGGAGGAATCCTCTTGGACGCCATTTGCCTTGCAATGTACTCCAAGTCTTACAAGTCCTCATCTGTAATGTGCCCGTAGGTCGGTACAACGGCCCTGGGCACGAACCAACCTAGGGGCCATGGGCTGGCCTGCTTGGGTTGACTTCCGGTATGATGAGGCACTCATGGGCCATTACACCGTCTGTAGCCCCTGGATCAGTGTTCAAACTTGGCGCCTTCATAGTTGGTGCCAATCTTGAGGCACCGTATTCTGTAAATTTTTTGAGGTCGTACCGTCACAAAGCTCTCCGAAGTAAACATGCATAACAAGTTCTCCTAAGAAAATGGGACATGCTTCACAGCCGACCCCTTTCATGTGTCATGTCCTCTGATCTCGGCCTGTCCATCTTGAATGGCGGTCACATCTGGTCTTGAGTTGCCGGTGTAGATCTCCGACCTCCATGGAAAGGTTCTCCCATGAAGCCGGGGCCCACGAGCTAATTTCCCGTGGAATACTCACAGAAAATTTTGAATTGGGCACCAGCCCTGCGTGTTGGGGGAACCAGACCCGACTCAGATCTAGTTGGTCGAGCCGGACCAAGTTGTCCTGCTAATTATTGGTCGAGCAGACGTGCGCTCGCAGAGAAGCAGACCCCATCAAGGACACATCCCATCATGACGATGCCTCGATCCCCATGCAACTTAGCTGCTTTTTAGTGGGAAGTGAGCAAAGCTATCCTATCCCGCGTCACAGCGCGGTTGTTGTCGTTACTTCTCTCGCCAGGGCATTATAAGGGAGGGGCATATCAGTTCGCTCATTTCCCCTTCTTCATCTTTCTCCAGCGCTCTGGCTGTCATTGCTCTTCTCACCGGAGCTCTCTCTCCATCGCTTTCCTCTCCACGCGCACGCCCACTGACGACAGATGGCTGCCTAGTCGACCAAGATCCAGGCGATGAAGAGGGGTGCCACGTGCAAGGAGACCGGCGGCGGCAGGGGAAAGCTGAAGGTTGCCTCCACCACAAAGGGGAAGTGGATGGCCTCCACCAGCACTGATGAACATTGACAGTGCAATA